CAATCTCTTGCCCTCGTGATCTGCCTGCCTTGGCCTCCCAAAGTGCTGGGATTACAGGTGTGAGCCACCGCGCCTGGCCAAATTTTTTATTTTTAGTAGAGACGGGGTTCCACCACGTTGGCCAGGCTGGTCTCGAACTCCTGATCTCAAGTGATCCACCTCCCTTGGCTTCCCAAAGTGCTGGGATTACAGGCATGAGCCACTGCGCCCGGCCAGGCGTGATTTTAAAAAATTCTTATTAAGGACTCTCCCAGAACGCTGGAGGCTCATGGGGTTCTGAGCATCCTGCTTGAGTCTCCATGGAGACGAAGCCCGTGTCTCCTGGCCGACTCCACCAGCCCCAGTGCCACGCTGTGCCCGGCCAAGTCCCAGCTGAGTCTAAGCACCTGCATCTGTGCTGGGCCGAGTGGCAAGATGTTGTGGGAGGACCCCTGACCCCTTGCCCAGCTCTATTCCTCACCCAGTCCTGATGTTCTGTTCCATCTGGGGGCGGCCAGCAGGCTGCCAGTAATAGCAATAATAAATAGCCATTCTCTGAGTGCTAAGGAGCTCCCAGACGCCCTGCTAAGCCTGCATTTTAGCTCATGAATCCACACCAGACCGGGGCCTTCACCATATCCTCTTTTTCTTTTTTTCGAGATGGCGTCTCAGGTGGTCCAGGCTGGCGTGTAGTGGCGCGATCTCGGCTCACTGCAACCTCCGTTTCCCGGGTTCAAGCGATTCTCCTGCCTCAGCCTCCCAAGTAGCTGGGATTACAGGTGCGCGCCACCACGCCCAGCTAATTTTGTATTTTTAGTAGAGACAGGGTTTTGCCATGTTGGCCAGGCTGGTCTTGAACTCCTGCCCTCAGATGGTCTGCCTGCCTCAGCCTCCCCAAGGGTTGGAATTACAGGCATGAGCCACCGTGCCCAGCCCCTCTCCTCTCTCTTCAGACCTGCTTGGCAAGGAAACTGAGGCTCAGCTGCCTGGTGCGTGGGGAGATGGTATGGGATGGTGGGAGGTGTGTGTGCGCCAGAGTCTGGCTTCCCGGGTTCACATCCCAGCTCTCTTACCGTGTGGTCTTGCACCAGTCACTGGAGCTCTCTGTGCCTCAGTTCCTCGTCTAACGCGGGTGGACATTTCATACAAATGGCGTCACACGCTGTGTAGTCTTCCGTGTCTGACGTCTCTCACCAAGCATGATGTCCTCAAGGTGCACCTGCACTATGGCCTGGGTCAAAGCCTTATGTTTTTTTCATGGCTGAGTCATGTTCTGTTGGCTGGAAGGACCACAAAATGTCCTCTAAAGCTGGGCGTGGTGGCCCACACTTGTCATCCCAGCACTTTGAGAGGCTGAGGTGGGAGGATCGCTTGAGCTCAGAAGTTTGAGTCTAGCCTGGACAACATAGCAAGACTCCATCTCTACAAAAAATTTAAAAATTAGCCAGGCCTGGTGGCATGCCACATCTGTGGTCCCAGCTACTTGGGAGGCTAAGGCAGGAGGATCACTTGAGCCGAAGAGGTCAAGGCTGCAGTGAGCTATGATCATGCCACTGCACTCCAGCCTGGGTGACAGAGCGATACCCTGCCTTATAAATAAATAAATAAAATTGTAAGTTAACCAGGCATGGTGGCGGGTGCCTGTCATCCCAGCTACTCAGGAGGCTGAGACATGAGAATCACTTGAACCCAGGAGGCGGAGGCTGCAGTGAGCCAAGATTGCACCATTGCACTTCAGCCTGGGCAACAGAGCAAGAGCCTGTCTCAAAAAATAAATAAAATAAAAATTAAAAATTAAATTTTAGGCTCGGTGCGGTGGCTCATCATGCCTGTAATCCCAGCACTTTGGAAAGCTGAGGCGGGCACATCACTTGAGGTCAGGAGTTTGAGACCAGCCTGGCCAACATGGTGAAACCCCATCTCTACTCAAAAAACAAAAATGCGCCAGGTGTGGTGGCGCACGCCTGTAATCCCAGCTACACCGGAGACTGAGACAGGAGAATTACTTGAATCCGTGAGGCGGAGGTTGCAGTGAACTGAGATCGCGCCACTGCACTCCAGCCTGGGTGACAGAGCAGGACTCTGTCTCATCAATAAATAAATAAATAAGTACGTTAATAAAATGTTACACTAGCTGGGCAGCTACTCAGGTGGCTGAGGCAGGAGAAGCACTTGAACCTGGTAGGTGGAGGTTGCAGTGAGCCAAGATCACACCATTGCACTTCAGCCTGGGCGACAGAGAGACTCCATCCTGAAACAAAAGAAAAATGAAAATGAAAATAAAATTTTAAACGGGTGTAACTCCATGGAGGGAAAAAGAAGGCTGAGAAAGGAGGTAATGGTGAGTGAGTGGTTTTAGATAAGGTAGATGGAGAAAGTGATGGGGAATTAAGGAATGAGCCACACATCGTCTGGGGAGAGGGCATCCGAGGCAGCGGGCACAGCCCGTGCAAAGGCCCTAAGGCAGGACCGCACCTGACAAGTTAGAGGAACAGCGAGGAGGCCTGTGTAGCTGCAGCAGTGAGGAGGGGGAGAGAGGGAGCAGGGGAAGGTGGGGACGAGACAGAACAGGACACGCAGAGCCTTGCGGGCCTCAAGGAGGACTTGGGCTTTAATTTTAGGACGTCTTCGGGAAGTTGTTGTTTTTTTTTTTTTTTTGAGACAAGATTTCACTCTGTCGCCCAGACCAGTGGCAGTGGTGTGATCCTGGCTCACTGCAGTCTTAATCTCCCAGGGCTCAACCCATGCTTCCACCTCAGCCTCTGAGTAGCTGGGACCAAAGGTGCACACCAACCACCCCTGGCTAATGTTTTTTTTTTTTGTTGTTGTTGTTGTTGTTTGTCTGTTTTCCAGACAGAGTTTCACTCTTGTTGCCCAGGCTGGAGTGCAGTGGCGCAATCTCGGCTCACTGCAATCTCCACCTCTCAGGTTCAAGCAATTCTCCTGCCTCAGCCTCCTGAGTAGCTGGGATTACAGGCATGCGCCACCACGCCCGGCTAATTTTGTGTTTTTAGTAGAGACAGGGTTTTTTCCGTGTTGATTAGGCTAGGCTGATCTTGAACTCCTGACCTCAGGTGATCCCCCCGCTTCAGCCTCCCAAAGTGCTGGGATTACAGGTGTGAGTCATCATGCCTGGCCTGTTTCCTTATTTTTTGTAGCAATGGCGTCTCACTATGTTGCCCAGGATGGTCTCCAACTCCTGGGCTCAAGTGGTCCTCCTGACTCTGCTTCCCAAAGTGCTGGGATTACAGGTGTGAGCTACCACAGCCAGCACTTATTATTATTATTAATACTATTGATGAGTTTCATACATAAAGGATCATGGGCACTTTAGAGCTGGGAGATACTTTCGGTATTTCTCCTATCCTGTCATTAGCAGTGAGAGCCAGCTTCCCCTCTTGTTGATGGCATTATTGATGAGTTACATACTTCAAGGGCCAAGGACACTTTCTATGTGTAAGCACCGTATAGAATTGGAAATACTTTTAGCATTTCTCCTATGCTGTCGTGATTAGTGGGAGCACTTTCCCTCTTGCTCTTGATTCATTATTATTAGTGTTGTTATTATTATTATTATTATTTTTTGAGACGGAGTTTCGTTCTTGTTGCCCAGGCTGGAGTGCAATGGCACAATCTTGGCTCACTGTAACCTCCACCTCCTGGGTTCAAGTGATTATCCTGCCTCCGCCTCCTGAGTGGCTGGGATTACAGGCGCCTGCCACTGAGCCCAGCTAATTTTTGTATTCTTTATTAGAGACGGGGGTTTCACCATGTTAGCCAGGCTGGTCTCGAACTCCTGACCTCAAGTGATCCACCCACCTCGGTCTCCCAAAGTGCTGGGATGACAGGGGTAAGCCACCGCACCCAGAGATATTATTAGTGTTATTAATATTATTGATGAGTTACCTACTTTAAGGATCACGGGCGCGCTCTACGGGCAAGTCCCCTACAGAACCTCCAGCAACTTCTGACATTCTTCCTGCCGTTGCCCTCCACGGGAGCCGGCGGGGCCCCCTGGGAAGCCGGCTAAGGCCCGTCCCGCCCGCAGCTCCGCCCTCGCCCACCTGTAGGCGGCCCGGGCCTTGGCCGGCCTAGGTTTCCCCGGGCGGATGCGAGGCGCCGGCTGCCCGCGCCGGCGCGGCGCGCCGAGGGCCGCTGGCGGAGCCGCCCTGGGTTTGTCCGATGCGCGGCGCGCGGCGGAGGAGCGCGGGGCCGGAGGAGGCGGGAGCGGCGGCCGCTCGCTCCAGCTGCGAGTCCGCCCGCCGCCCGCCCCGCCGCTCGGCTCGGTTCCCGCGCCCGCCATGGCCCGCCTGACGGAGAGCGGGGCGGCGCGCGGCAGCAGGCGCGCTCCTGCAGCCGCGCCCTCGCCGCGTGGGCAGCAGCGGGCCCCGGCCCCCGGGGGGGCAGCCCGACGGCATGAAGGACCTGGACGCCATTCCAGGCTCTTCGTGGGCCAAAATGCCCGCGGCACCTGGACGAGGAAGGACTCAAGGCCGCTCTTCGATCAGTTGGGCCGCATCTACGAGGCTTCACGGTGCTCAAAGGACCCCTACACGGGGATTGCACAAAGGTGGGGGTCCGGCCCCCCCCCTCCCCCTCCTCGCTCCCACCCCCATTTCCGGCATCTTCTCGTCCCATCCCATCCGCCTCTGCTCACCTCCCTCCTCGCCCTGCCTCTGCCGGAGCTGTTCTTACCCCTCCTCCCCCCTCTGGGGGTGCAGCTGACAGATCCGAGAGGGCCCCCTCCCCTCCTCCGCCCCCTCTCCCTCCCTCCCCACCTTCCGGCATCTCCTCTCTCTCTCCCTCTCTCTCTCCCTCTCTCTCTCCTTTTTCTCTTCTCTCCCATCTCCCTCGACCTCTCATCCTTCCCCCCACAGCACCCTCTCTCTCCCTCCCTCCCTCCCTCACCCTTCCATCCCCCAGACCCCCACCCCTTCCTCCCTCCCTCACCCCACTCTTTCCTGCCCATTTGCCAGGGGAGCCTCGGGAACGCCGGCACCCCCCCCCCCCCATTCATTCAGCTTCCCCAGGCCCCGTCGGGGAAGTTTGCACCTGCGGACTCCATTGCTTTGGTTATTTTCACAAAGCCAGGCCGGCGGGGCAGGTCCGGCCGCGGGGGACACGGATGCCCAGGACCCCAGGCTAATCGGTAACTACAAAGGAAGACGGGTTGGGGGCGCCCGGCTCGGGGGGACGCGCCCGCCTCGCCTGCCTCGGGTGGCGGAGAGGCTCCCGTCTCTGCCCACCCCCTGGCCCCACCACCTCCGCGTGGATCAGCATTCTCTCCTCCATTTCTCTGCCCTCCCCCTCCCCCGCCTCCACCTTCGGCTCAAGTTGAAATTGGCCAAGCCTCTTAGCAATGTGTTGGGGTCTCAGGTCCAAGACAATGAGCTTGGACGTGTCCATCTGGGCAGAGCCCAAATTCTGGGGTGGACAGGGAGGAGGAGGGAGGCGTGGGCGGCCTCAGGCCTGTCTGCCTCCCTCCCACCGGATTCTCCCTCCGATGGCATCGGCATCCCGGGTGGGGGTGTCCAGCAATTGTGTCCTCAGCCCTTGGTTCCCATCATGGGCCCAGCGTCTGAATTGGGGTGGCTTTGACAGCCTCTCCGTCAGGTGTTGGGGACTGGGGGTGGCACTTCAGAGGCTTTGTGCTGGACACCCCCGGCCTCCCCCACCCCATCCTCCAGGAAGACCCTGGAGAGGCCTTGGGGGAGGACTGGGCCGTGACCTATTTTAGACCCACTTTTTCCCCAGCGCTGCGTGCCGGGTAAGCAGGAAGGCATGTTTATTGAGTGAGTGAATGAATGAATGAATGAATGAATGAATGGTGGGTTCAAGAAGGCCCTAGGGAGGGTCTGGTGAGGTGGAGCCCAGGCCTGTCACTTCAGCTAGACCCTCCAGCTGGTTATTTTGAGGGAGAGGAAAGAAACCCCTCCCCATTCCCCATCTCTTTTCAAAACCAACCATCACACACACACACACACACACACACACACACACAGGGCCTGAAAAATCTAACTCCTCCGTGTGGCCTAGGGGGGCAGAGGGGCTCCCATGCGGTCCCCGTAAGTCAATCTCTGGAGTCCAGAGGTGATAGGTGGGCTTTGCCCACATGCCCCCAACCCCTGGTACACCCAGAGCACCCATTTCTAGAAGGATTCCCGTGGGAATGGGGGGAGTCCACGTGGCCCCCCAAACGGTTGCATTGAAAGGCCTCTGGTTGAGCTGTAGGTCGGAGAGACAGTTGGGGGTGCAGGGACTGGAGAGTCCTGGTTGACTCTTCTTCATCTTTTTTTTTTTTCTTCTTCTTATTTTTAAATCTCTGGGAATCCTGGGCACGGGAGAAGTGAGGGGTGAGGGAGGGGCTGGGGCTGGGTTTTCACCTGATCCTGAGCCTCAGTTTCCCTGCTGTCAACAGAGCAGGACCATGACACGTCCCCAGTTGTTTTTTTACAGGTTGGAGAGTGTTGGGGTACCTTGGGGGTATTTCCCATCTGTGGGCTTTCCTTGGAGGGTGAGAATTGAAAAGCCATGTCCACGACAGCCGACAGTCACCCTCCACATTTTAGGGGTCCCAGGTCTGTCTGTGTGTGAGATACAGGGGCTTCACCTCGTATTGAAAATGGATCCAGCCCCCCAGTACCCTCAGGGCAGTCAATCCCCACCTGTGTGGGGCCTGGCTGGACTTCACCTGGTCTTTGCCCGCGGGTGCTTGGCACAAAGGGGTGGGGGGAATGGAGGAGGTGGTGGGGGGTGTCTTCAGAATCAGCATCTGTGATCCAGGCTTGCGTTTGGGGCTCAGCTGTGTGACTTCTGGCTAGTGACTGCCCCTCTCTGGGCCTTGGCCAAAGGGAGGTGGAATGTTGAATGGAAAGTCAGGATTTTTGGGGAGAGGAGTGAGTTCAGACACCTGCCACCAACACTGACCTTATTAGGGCTGTTTCTGGGAGCCCTGGCGTGGTATAACGTGCCTGTTCAGAGCAGCAGGGCCGTGGGGTGTGGACCTCACGCCTGGAGAGAAATCCCTTTCCCCGGATGCCGGTGGGACCTGTGAGACTGGGCATAGGAGATCTGTAAGGAGCAGAGTGAGGTGGGATGAGAATGCCCTGGAGGGGCACCCGGCTCCTGACACAAACCTGGAGGGGTACAGCTGGCACCACCTTCAGCCCTTCCTTGGCGTCCAGGCCGCAGGGGCTTGATTTTCCCACGGAAGGCATCGCTATGGAGGTGGGCTCCAAGCGACAGCACATTTCTGGGAAACTGAGGGCTGGAGAGACATATCCTGGGTCCCACACCTACCAGAGCTAGGCCCCCATTACCCCCATGCCTTCCTTCCAGGCCAGGGGGAGCAGCCGTGCCTATATCTGTGTGACATTAGGGGTGACAGGTTCCCCGAAGCCGAGAGTGAGCTCCTCATGATAGTGCTGGGGAGAGAGGGGCCTGTGACACCTGACAGCCACAGCTGGCCTGGCCGAAGGTGGCCTGGGGGCAGTCAGATTCCTAGAGGCCGTGCTGAGACCCAGAGAAAGGCAGGAGGCCTCATCCAGGAGCCCAGGAGCGGGACAGGGGTAGGGGGAGAGGGATGCATCAAGGTGGTCCCCCGAAAGAGGGCAGGCCCCGGGTCGCTGGGTTTGTTTTTGATAGAGAGAGAGGAGAGAGAGAGTAATATGCAGGGAAAGAGAGATGGAGAGACCCACAGAGAGACAGAGACGGAGAGACACAGACAGGCAGGGGGCTGCAGAGAGATGGAGGCCCACAGGAAGACCACAAGCCTTCTCTTGCCAGAACTTCCCATCCAGAGAGAGGGGACCTCCCCCAGGAAGGACCCCCACCCCAGGCCAGGGGCTCAGGCCAGGAACTGGAGGCTGGGATTGGGGCTCCCGCTGGCCCCTCTGCAGTTCTCTGCCCCAGGGACCCTCCCTCCAAGTCAGGCACCTCTGGAGCGGCGGCTTCCCCTGTGTACGGATGGTGGCTGCCTGGGTGCCCACCCTGCCAGGGGAAGGTGCCCACAGTGGTGCTGGTCCGCCGCTGCCACCGGGCCCCCGTTTATGGTAATCGCATATACATTTGCATGTTAATGACAATATTTGTCTTAAAGCGGAGGTTGCGCTGGGGGACGGTGCAGGTGGGGGGGGCCCGGCAGGGGCCCGGGTGGGGGCCCGCGGTTTCCATGGGAGCACCAGCTGCCGGCTCGGCTCGGGCGGGGGGGAGGAGGAGGCTGTAGCAGGCTGAGCTCTGAGGCGTGAGATTCCGCGTGTGACGCACCAGCCCCAGGGAGAAGGCGGGCTGGGCGGCCTGGCGGGGGGACTGCCGGAGCAGTTGGCTCCTGGTGGTGGCGGGGACAGTGGCAGGGGGCTGGGGGCGGCTGGCAGGGTTGGCCAGTGTGTGTGTGTGCGTGTGTGTGCGCGTGTGTGTGCGCGCGCGCACGTGTGCCTGGAAAGGACCCCTGCCCGGGTGCTGTGTGGCTTCAAGCTGGGCGCGCCCCTCTCTGTGCCTCGTTTTCCCCTGCTGCCCATTTTCTCATTTAACAGACTTTCATGAGGCCCCGGAGCCTCACACCTGTGACTGTGACATCATTTCTGCACCTCCCTCCCCCCGCCGCCCCCCCCCACTGCTTCAACATTTATTGAACGCCTACTGTTTTCCAGTATTTATGCAGAGCTGGGCATTTGGTGTGAACAGAATTCCTTGTAGGATTCATGAGAGAGTGGGCTAGATGTTAATCTGTCTACCTGTATGACCAATATTTATTGAGCGCTTGCTGTGTACCAGGCCCTGTTCTAGACCCTGGGCTACTGGGTTGGGCAAAACAGGTAAAATTTGCCATCCCTACTCCCTGCCCAGAGTTCCCCTCCCGCCAGATTCCAGTTTAGGGGAGAGAGACAGCTGAGGAACTGGGCTTACTAGGCACGGAACTCAGGAATGTGATGGCGAAACACACACCAGCAGTGACAACCCAGAGGAGGGTCCTGCCTCCACAGGAGTGGAGGCCAGGAGGGCTGCCTGGAGGAGGTGGTTAGTGTAGGAGAGTCGTTGAGAGCTTGGAGTTGAGATGAGCCTGGTTTCTCTGCATCTCGTGGCCTTGGGCAGGTGTCTTCATCCCTCCAAGCTGCAGTGGGTCTTCCCGTTTCAGAGGAAATGAAGGAGATGACAGCAGAAGTGGCAGGGAGAGCAGAGAACAGAAGAGGCCCTTGGCATGGGGCCGGGCACAGAGTATGTGCTTGGTCAGTGGGAGCGGGCTTATTACGTGACTACGCTGAGACTCGAAAGTGTCCCTGACAATGTACAAGGGCCCAGAGGGGCACTAACTCCTGAGAAGCTCAGGTGCAGTGAGGAGGGAAGTTTTGTCCTGGTACGAAAGGAGCAAAGGGTCTTGGGAGTCCCAGAGTCCCCTTCTTCTGTGGGGCTCACCTGCTGGGGCTCTTCTGAGGGGACTTAGCTTGGGGCTGGACCCAGGAGGTTATCTCTGAAGTGGGCTGTGTCTCTCTCACCCCTCAAATTGGCAAGTGAGCCCTTGGCCACTGGAAACACCTGGTAGGACCACATTCATTCATTCATTCATTCATTCATTCATTCATTCACACAACACTTCTTGAAAACCCTCTGTGGCCTTACCTCGTACTGAGCAAGAGAGGTCTGAGGCCAGAGCGAGACATTGGCACCTACAGTCCAGTGGTCTGAGTTGGGTCCAAGGGAGGGATGCAGGGTTGAGGGAACTGGATAATGAAGCAGGAGCTCTGCCTGGAGGAGGGGCATTAGAAATGGGGCTCTGAAGGATCAGTAGGAGCTTTCCAGGTGGAGAAAGAGTTTTATTTATGCATTCACAGAAACACTTACTGTGTTCCAGGCCCTATGATGGGCATGAAACACAGCAGTGAACAAGACAGGTACATGTCTTGACTTCCTGGATATAGGGAGGGGGAACTGGATCTGTGAAGGCCTGGAGGCGTGAATAATTTGCACAGCTAGGGTAGAGGTGGGATTAGGTGAGACGTGGGAGATGAGGCTGGAGAGTCAGCATGGGCTGGACCAGGAAAACCTCTGATGCTGGACTGAGCTTGGACTCTTTCCTGAGGGCACTGGGGAGCCATGAAAGAGTTTAGAGCAGAGAGGAACTCAGGCAGACCGGCATGGGAAGCAGGCTTCACA